TTCCAGTGCTCTTGGGAGCATCTTCTTTATTTAGCCACTTTGTAATGAACTGGCATTCCAATGGAAATGCAATTGAAAACAAGTCGTAGATGGCAACCATTAAGTACATGAATAAAAATCTCTTCCATTCACGTTTTAAAATCACTTTACCTATTGACGGATTCTTGTTGAGACTTTGCTTCTTCCATTCAGATTTGTAGTACTCAACTTCGTCTTCAACATTCAAATTTTTGGAAACAGGATTCATGTCTTTCACTGTTAAATTGCCTTTCCGGCCTTTCATTATCTGCTTCATTGCCATTCGGAAGATAATAGTGTTAATAAACTTCTTGATTGTATTCGGTGAACGGTCGTTGGAGATTACTTCAGTACTTTCAAAGTAAGCATCTTCTTCTGTTGAAGAACTTGAGGCCTCAATAGACTCACTTGAAAGCTCTATTTCATTGTCACTCTTAATCTTAGACATTGGAGATACCTTTCCAGATGGTGTGGTCCTTTATATTCATCGTCAACGGCAAATGGAAATATCAAACAACAGAAAAATCCTTTTGAATTTTCGATGTTTTGCTCTTTTAAAATGTTTCTTGTCCACTTTTTGAATGATGTGTTGGTGTATTATTTTAAAGTTTAATTTAATTCAATCTAAGGGATTTGTCTAATATATTGAGGTTCTTCAAAAAGTAGTTTCTGTATAAGTTAAAAAAGTACATCATGTCGTTTTTAATGTTCAAAATTGTGAATGTTTTGTTTAGTTCCATTTTGTGTATGTTTTTTTTATCAAATATTTAGTACTTTTTTATTAATTATATTATTATTGTTTTAGTTAATTTTAATAAATGTTTTTTTCAAATTTCAAAATAATGAATCTTTACAAATGTTTTATGATTGAAAAACTTTAAAGTTAATTTTATTAAATTAAAAATTATTAATACATTTTTAATTTATTTATTCTAATATCTTAAGTTAAAAAACATTGAACAGAGGTTTTGATGTTTTTTTTTGAAAGATAATGAACTTTCATTAGACAAAACAATTTGTGTGTTTAAAAAACAACGAAAAGTGAAAATTCAAATGATGTTCAAAAACTATTTATTTAAAGTTCCAATTATAATTTATGTTTATTACGTTTTTAGAACCATTTTTACCATGTAATTATCATAAAACATTTTTTAGATATTAATAACAATTTAAATATATGTACAGGGGTGAAACTGAAGGTATAAATTTGAAAGCGGATGTATTAATTTAGGGTTTTTGATACCAAATTTGGCGTTTTTCTAGGTTTTATGATTCGTAAATTAAGCCAACCCCTTTGATTTGAATTTGACAATAATAAAAAAAGGAAACAAAATGAAAAGAATCAATAATTATGTTTTGTAACGATACCAACATATTAATATTTTAATAGTATTTTAATTATATCAATGGTTATATAAAAATCATCATGAATTTGTGTGTTTTTAATAATCAGCTAAAGTTAAAAAATGAATCAATAGTAATAATTGTTATAATTAAACCATTATAAATAGTTGACGGTGTTTAATAGTTTTGTTATTATTCAATTGTATTTTCAGGGTTTAAAACAAAAGACAACCTGTTCACAACTTGATAAATATTTTAAGGGTGTTTAAACATGTGGGTGAGTATTAGCTTTATGGTTTGTTTGATTATTTATTTATTATCAACGCAGTTATTACAAATTTGTTTTATTAACATATAGATTAATTAAGGTGACTCTATGAAGCACTTTGGTTTGTGTTTTTCATACTCAGGCTGGTCGTGAAGGACGTAAAACACAACCCAAAGTATCGTAAATCATTTTTTATGTCGAGTGTTGTTTGAATAATAACAAAATAATGATAAATTTATTATAAACATGAATACAGTAAGACCTCGATTATTTCCAACCCTTGACAATTTCCAAACCTCGACAATTTCAAAGATCTGATTGGTTGTTTGAAGTTTTTTGGAAAAATGCGAGGTAATCTAAAGTTAGTTAATTTAAATTATTAGCTGATATAACAATTTACTAAAAAATTCAAAATCTTCAATTTGGAAAGTGTCAAGGTTTTTAAAATAAAAAAATTGGAAATAATCGAGGTCTTACTGTAATAAAATGCATAGTAAATATTTAATATTGTTATAATTTCTTGCGTTGAAAATTATAATAAATTTTATAATTTTGTAACTATTATATTAACTATATTTTCCTTTTCCAAAAATCATGACTGTGTTGGAAATAGTAATTTTTGTCCAATTTTACTTGTTTGTTGTTGTAGTTATGTTGATTTAAATGGCTCAAATTTAATGATTTACACGTTAGTTCGTTTTTGGCCAATAGATTAAAAGAAAATGAACCCTAAATTAATATATTCACTTTCAAATTAATACCTTCATTTTCACCCCTGTATATAATTTGTATGTTTAAAATTTATATAATAAAAGTGATATACAGTCTAATCCCTCAAGAATATTTTTAAATTTATATTTTCTCAAAAACTGGCTTTTAAAAACAAAACCAAAAAGAAATTTTTATGTACGGTAATTAAGATTTGGTTGGGTGATAATGCATGCTTTTCAACACTACCACTTTTAAAAGGTATGACTGTATTTTGAATTTTTATTATGTTTCTTAAATTTGAATAGTATTGAAATATATACAGTCAAAGGCGTCTATTTGTTGTAATTATAATTGTCGAAGTTGCCCGATTGTCGCACAACTTACCAATCATTTCAGTGTACGACAATTTCATATTTTGTTCTCGAATCTGTAACTTTTTGTTGAATTAAAAACAATTTTTTATAAACAATAAATTTCAATGTTAAATAGAATTTTCTACAAAATTCACTCATTTACGACAAATAGATAATTTTTCTGCTGGATTTACGACAAATAGACGCCTTTGATTGTATATTATACATTGATGACTCCACTCAATGAAAAACTGGAATAAATATTTTTTATTTTTTTATAAAAATAGGTAGTTTTGAAAAAAATACAAACTGGTTTTATTGAAGTTTAAGCAAATATAAAAAAATAAATATGTATTTAAGAAGAATAAACAAACTAATTTTTATTAAAATAATTGCAGCTCTATGTAGAATAAATTTCAGTGTATTTTTAGTTCGATTATTCGATTTTTTTATAAAAAAATAAAATAAAAATAAATTAAACTTAAAATACAACAGGAAACAGGTTTGTCGATACAAGGTTCATTTTATATTGCCGGAACAATAAAAATAGAAAACACAAAACGATTATTTAAACCCAATTTTGTGTACGATCAAACAAATACAATACAATACACCGTTTGTTTTATGCATAAAAACAATCTGACTTCGGACAGCGTCTCAAAGAATCAAAGTAATGAATGTTCGTTTCCAGGTATCTCACTATATACAGGACTTGCAATTATTTGACACCAACTTCAAATCTAACAGGCTTAAAGAGATATAAAAACATTGGTCTCAATCGGGGAAATACACGAAGAACATAGAAATGGTGATGAATATCTGTGCATCAAGCAGATAAGGGTTCTGTTGGTGTTGTTACACCATGGCAATTGCCCAAATTTAACAAGCATGTTATAAACATCTTATTTATACGACAAAATACATGGCGTATTCTTAACTGCTTAACAGAGCCAACAACAGTAACAGTCTAAAAAAGAAACAAATCCTCTATATGAATTAATTCAGTCTTTTATTCATTATTTTGAAATATGATATTTAAGTATTAATTTTTAATAAAACTTAAGTAAATAATA